TGATTTAACTAGTGATGACATATTTATTAAACAAATATTTAGAATCTAGTTAGGTTAAGCAACCATATTACAATATAACAAAATAAACACTATTAATAAACATCTTAGTTACAAAGCTAAAACTATATTATACATTTAACTTCTGTAAAAAACACAAGATAGCTTTTTAAAGAAATAGTTTTAGCAAATATATATAGAAACTGTATTCACGATTAAACTTGTATAGAGCATTATTGCTTAAAATATTATTAATATAAAAAGTATTTTGAAATATTAAATTTGTAATAAAAAGATCGTCAAAGTTAATGCAATTAATAAAGCGGATAATATCAAATTTCGGTACGCTTTTCTCTCGAACTAGTATAATAATTAATGGTCTAAGTTATTTAAAAAGATAGAGCAAATTGTATACTTTAACATAATATAGCCATTTTTTCGATTTATAGTATTTTATAAGTAGTAAATTCTTCAACAATGTAAAATAAACTTTATCTAAATTTGACAAACATAAAGCTAATGAAATTGTGAAATTGAGCCTATTGTTGAAAAAATTATACCTTTAGTAGTTATTTTAAAACCATCTACTGTTATTTTATTAACGATATTAAGCATCGTGATTGTTACCCGAAAAAATCATTATTTGATTTTTATATAGGACTATACAAAAATTTCCAATTTATAAAATCAGTACAAGTATTATAAAACTACTAAATACTAGAGATTCGATCCTATTCAGAAGATCGTCTGAATGGATAATTTGTTTAGGTAATTTATTCATGTTTTAAAAATAGTTTTCAAAAACTTGACGTTTCACTTATCACAAAACATCATTTATAGCTTTAGGAGAATGTTGACTTTAATTGTGAAAAAGAATTTCAAAAGAAGCTTAGAAACCAAAAATATGCTGCCAACTGCCGTTTATTAGACTATACAAAATTATATAGTAGATTAAAGATGATTATATATGTTTTTGTCCAGGACTTTATTAACTTTAATTTAGAGATTGTATGATCGAGTTTTTGCGATAAACTATAAATTTTAATAAATTTTATATGTATAACGATAATATCGATATATGTATAATGATAATATCGATATATCATGTATATAAAGTATATATATGTATAAATGTTACCAAAAGCAAAATGTGTATTTTTTTTTCATTTACAATATAAATGTTTAGCGATGTACTATAGCCCAAGTTTATTAAAATGTAAAATACACAACAGATCTAGAACTTGCATTAAAAAAAGAATTTTTTTTGAAATTCAGATTAATTTGAAATTATTCTTTAATTAACTACTTGCTCAATAAATATTTTGATCTATAAAATATTAATTAAATGAAAAAAAGACTGTATCTAAAACTGTATCTGATAATAACAGAATTTATATACAATTATGATAAAAACAGTTTTTAAGTCAAGGCTGTACATGCTTAAATGAAAGAAACCTTACTACATATCAGTGTGATTAATAAAGAATATAAATAATACTACATACGAAGCTGATTAGAAAAATACAAATGATATAATAATTGTATAATAATAATGAATTATAATTACTAATTAATTGACTTGAGTAATTGCAAATTGTGATCCTTGGGAAAAAAATGCACACAAAGAAAAATTTGTAGAGCAACGCCAGTTTGCTCAACAACAAGAAGACATTACTCTCGTCATAAATCATTAATTCCATTATGCAAGTTATTTATTGAAATAGAATTTCGAGGTGTTGAAGGAGTAACCACCACATGTGGAGAGTGTATTATATCATATTGGATGGTTTGAGAATCAGTTATTGTTGAAGAAGAATTTGAAGTTGTAACAAGTGTCGAAGTATTTCCTTCAAAAGTTTCATGACTCACTTTTGTATGCATATTGGGTTGATAAATAGAAATATGTTTTTTTGAACTGTAATATATACTATCAGTGGGAGAGCCTAATAAAATATCGTCAAGACTAAAGTGAATACCACTAGTTAAATCAAATTGGGCCTGTTCAGTTGGTGTACGATGACCATCAGTAAATAATAAGTTATGAGATTTCTCATGTCCCGAAAAAGTATCACGTGGAAATGGGATTTTTACATCGCCAATAGAATGTTTTTGAGAATTTAGTGATTTAGGAGCGTGAGATGAACTGTTTTGACTGTAGTGAAAATAAGAAATTATAATTAATATATATACTAAATAATTAAATTGATTAAATTAATTAAATTAATTAATTTATATAAATTAATATAAATTAAATTAATTTATAAATTATGTATATAATAAATAAATAAATAATATATATAACACTTACAAAGATCTTAATGTTCTAGTAGGACTATATTCATCAGGTCTCTCTCTAAAACATGAAAAAAATGAATCCAAATGAATCATTCTTCCCCACTTTCTATAAGCATGCATAGCATCTTGACCGGTACCAAAAAAAATAAATACAAAAAATCCGGTCAATGGTTTCGCATAATCGAAAAAGGATATACCATTATTATATTTTGGTACTGTATTAAATTTTCTATCAAATAAATTAAATTCGATTTTGCCATCAGCCATAGCAACATTACTGAAAAATGTTATAAGAGAAGCAGGAAATGAGAAAAGTAGAAAAGTGACGCAAAAGAGTACAAGGCGGTAAAATTTATTAGTGCTGAGACCAGATTCGGTATAAGTTAAAAGACTTTTAATTTCAAGTCGTTTTTTGATAATTGAATAGGAAGTGCGAGCTATTATATAGGAAATAAAGAAAATTTAATCAAGAAATATAAGAGCACGTGATCAAGAATAAATACGGACGTATGTACGTACCTGCATAATAACATCCAATAAGAGAAATAATAACCGGCCATATTCCATCTAGTAAGAAAAATAAAATATCTGAATGGGCCGGAGAAAAACAACCTAAAATAGGTTTAATTCCATATTTATTTGTCTGGATAATAAAGTATAATCCGACAAAAATTGCAGGAACCAGGATTGTGATCAATAAAATCCTCACAGCTTGTCTCTTTCGAACGCGTTCGGTCAAGATGATAGGGTTTGAGACATAAGAATGAAGAGTATAAATCATACAAGTAATTGAAGCCAATAGACCAAAATTTGAACCAACATATAACGGAGAAGAAATTACACAATAGATGGGAGCCTTGTCATCGAGATCGTCGGCCCAAAGGATAGAATTTATAAATAAAATAGTATTCGTCAATATAACCCAAAAAGTCATCAAAATAGCACCCCAATTACGTGTTTGAATATGAAAGATTCCCGGGATGATGCATAATAAGACCGCCAGTAATGCGGAGAATGTAAAGAGATAATCGGCCATCTTTAACTTATTATTATAACATGTATTGAAAAAGTAAATCCTTATACGTATTCTACAAAAGATCTTTTGATTTAGAAACAAAAATGGAAATAAAATTGAAAATTGATCTTTTAAGCAAAAGAATGGAAGAATAAAATCAAATAACAAAAATAGAATAACAAAAGAATAGTAGAGGGGGAATCTTAAAAAAAAGACCAAGAAAAAGAGAGAGAGAGAGAAAAGTTGAAAAAACTTTAAGCATACAAAGTAAATTAAGAAAATTCAACAAAGAAAATTTTACCAATTATAATTCGCGGATGCAAAAGTCAAATAAAGAAATGCAAGATGGGTTATATAAATTTTGCGCCTTGATACGTAATTTAACAAAACGAATATACATGTAGAATATATGTAGAATATATATGTAGAATATATAGAATATTTTATAGAATGTTTTATAGAATATGTAGGATATATCGATGTAGATTAGGTAAGAACTCATATATATATATATATATATATGATTATAAAGATTAAGCTTATCATCTAACACTAATGTTAACCAAACCATTGTAGGTTAACAGTACATTATAACATTGTAATAGCTTAAAAAACTTGCATGCTCATCCACAAACCAATATTTCACCCATGTAATCAATAACGATAACAAAGACCATTATCAAAGCTAAATCAAAATAGTTACATTTATTTGTGTAATGAGGTATAGGGTTTATGCTACTTTTCTAGTCGAACAAGACAGGTTTGGAAATTCAATCCGTAACACCATTGTTTAAATTAAAATACCATTCAATTAATAGTATTAATGGTACACCTACCATTAATGGCGATTTCGATAATCTTGGTACGTATGATGACTTGCATTTCTTCGATATAATCGTGCATCATGTTTACATAGTCATATCATCATGTATATCTTTGATGTCACACTTTTCTTTTCCCTTCTTCATCTTATAAATCTTTTTAATCTTGAATATTACCCACACGCGAATTTTTTTAAACAAAACAAAAAAGTATGTAAAGAATAATGACATTTCCTAATTAAAAACCTATTTATCGTTTACAAAATTAATATCTTAAAATTGCATTGGTTGATAAAATTACTTTACTAAAAAAGGATTTTTATTATTCTAGGCGTCTTCTATATATCGATATATAATTTTAGATACAATCTTATCTAATTGGTTTACCTAATTGGCTATAGTAAAATCCTATATGAGTCATGAAATACTTTCAAATATACGATAATCGCTAATGAATTTATCAGTCGATGAAAAAAAAAATCCCGTATCTCGGTTTGTATAAGTGCTTGATGTATATAGGCATATCGATGTATCAAGTAATTAATTTACATATCGATATATAATAAAAAACTGACAACCGATCGATTGGATATATTTGTCGAATAAGTGTGAAATGCATGGGTTGTAGGCTAAACGATTTAACTTGTTTAATTAATCATGTGAACAACATGAAACTGATTACCCGTTAACAAAAACATTTCCATGGCTTAGTTACGTATTAAAAATTAATAATTTAAAATACTTGCCTAACATTAATTTCAGTTGGCGTTGAGTATTTCAGATTAATAATAATCGTACTACTAGTAACACCTATCTCAAAATTTCTTCTTAATCAGTTATTAACAAAACAAAGACTAACGTCTTCTGCACCTTAGATAATTTTGCTAATAAAAAACCAAAATATTGATCTACCTTAAACTATATATGTACTGTTTTATAAATTGACTACGTATTAATTGAAATATATATACGTGTATATATATCGATATTAGTTACCCCATATAATGAATTTAACTCATATGTACGTATCCAATAAATTGTTTCACGGACGTACCTATTAATTTGGTCTTACCTTACGTAAAATTGTTATTCTATAATCATAAAGTTGATATAAATGTAAACAAAGACCTGCCATTATCTTTTCTCCATATGCATGTATCCTTCAAATTAGCTAACTAGGCTTAATAAGAGAAATAAATAAAAAATATTTCCTTGTCATATTAATAAATAACATCGATACGGATACGTATCACTTTACAGAAAATTATCTAATAACCACTTATTACATAGGTAATCAATTCATAGACAAGTTTATTTTAAAGACAGACATTTCAATTCATAGACATCTCATTTTGAAGACGGTTCATTTTACGGACAACCTTTAAAAGAGAATAACTCTCGATCTAGTGGATAATTTAATTACTAAAATAATTAGGATTTTACATATATTGGTTTAGATATTAATGTCTGTAAAATGAACTATCTGCGAAGTGTGAAGTGAACTATCTGTGATTTAACATAAACTTGTCTATGAAATAAGGTGTTTGTGAAATGATATGTATCCCCTCAATACTGCGATACAATTAAACATACCATCTTTTTTATATAAAATTATAAATTATATCAAATATGTTAAGGTTACTGAATGTATAAAAAATCTTCGGTACTGCTCATTTAACAGATAATAATTTCATAGATATTTTATTTCGCTGACCTACAAGTTTATTTTACAGACAATTTGATACACAGACAAGTTCATTTCATAGACAACTTATCTTGTAGACAACTTATTTCATAGACAGCCTATTTCATTAGCATTAATTTAAATACAGTTCAGCAATTTTTGTATTATAGGAATGATAAGTCACATCGGTTGAGGATTTCGAGTTAGAATGTTATTACTAACCAGCAGAATGAATCAGTAACCAACGAAAGGTGTTTCGAACCAAAAAGTATATAAACGATACTTCCATGATGTTTTTGTAGAATAATTCGACTAATGCTTAGAATAGATAATACCCTTTGATATCTTAATATCTCTCGTAACATAATATTGTCGTGCTTAAAGTTGGCATCTTTTTTGAAGTTGTAACTTCAAGTGCCTGGAGTTGAAACTGCTAAAATTATTAACTAATGCGTGCGGCACGACAATAATACTTAATACATGACCTTAAAATAAAATTATCAATATTATTGATAAAAAATTATGACTGAAAAGAATTATTCTTTAGATGATATATGTAATACAGTAATATAGTATCTATTGAAATTCTTAGTCTTAGAATAGGAAAGATTAGTAAAGAAACCGCAAAAAAGTTTTATTATAATAATAGTGATATAAGTGCTTGGATAGATAGTAAAAATCATTTTAATTTAGCTAATAACACAGAGTAGCGGGAAGGAACTACCTTCTATGGGTTAGGGTTCGGCAGGCTGAATAAGCAAGCATGATCTTTTTCATGCTTTTTTTCTCTTGAAACTTGCTACTCCATTATTCGTTCATTGAGAATTTTATCTATTGATCGTGTTAGAATAAATTCCACATATGAAATTTATCTGTATCACCTTACAGGGCTTATTATTATTTATAACTTGTTTGTAAGGTGGGCACAAGTAGAAATTGCCAACATTTAAAAATTGTATTTTTTTCTGTTAATACGTATAACAATGAAAGATCAGAATAATATACTTACGAATAAAAAAATCAAAATTATTTCGAAAGATGGCATATCTTTAGAGGATGGAATCATAGGTGTAAAGTTTGTCACATTTTACTAAACTCATAAATTTGTGATATTTTACTATTTAACCAAAATAGTAATAAAAATTGAAACAATAATTAATTATCAAGTTGGTTATTTATATTTAACTTAACCTTCTTTAATTTGTAGTAGGTATAACAATAATACTTTAATCAATAAAATCAATTTTAATGCCTTTTTGCAAAATGTAGAAAAATTTTAATTATATATATATAAAAGATATTTTTTTATTCATTCAATATATAAAATGTTAGCTAATTATTCTGAATCATTATTTTTAGTATATTTTAGAGCAAAATTATATATTAAAAAATTATAAAGACAACTAATAAAAAAAAGTTGATGGTTTGAAGAAACTTATCTATTTATTAAGAATAAAAAGCAGTTGAAACATAATAAGATTATAGTAATTTTTTATTTGTTAATATTAAGACTTGATTAGTTATATTAGATTTTTTTAGTTCTTGCAAAAGATATATATATTATTTAAGAATTTGGCAAAAAAATTGAAAGTACTAAGAAAAAAAAAAATTTTAGAACTATTATAAAGATATTATAATAATTATTAAATTGTTATCTAGTAATTATAAAAATAAAATTAATAAATTCAGTTTCCAAATTTTTGATTAACTTAAAAATATAATAATTTAGAATAAAATTAGAAATTTAAAAGCAAAAATAAATTTAAATATTTTAGTTTTTATATATATCTTATTATATATATTGATCTTAATTATATATATTTTTTTTTAAATATCCCTGTTGTCTTAACAATTAGGGGCACAGATGGTACTCTTTTATTAAAAGTATTATATATGACTTAGTTACTTTTTAAATATTTACATATTAGTTTAAAAGATTTAGATCTAAAACTAAAAAGATTGTTTTTTAGAATTCGTATTTCTTTTGAAATACAATTTCTAATGAGAGAGTTTAGAGAATTAAGAGATATATTTGAATTTCCCTATTTTACAAAAGTGTATCGACACCATATCTTATAAATTGTAGTAATATGTAACCAGATCAAAATTGCTAAAGCCTGAGGATAAGTATTGTTAAAGGCTTGAAAGATATCATCTAGTGAAGCTAGTATAAATATTTCTTTATTAATATTGAGAAAACTGTATACTTTTTTTTAAATTATTATGCTTCGAGAATAATCTAAAGCAAAGTGTTCTATAGTTTGTATTTCATTTGAGCACCAAGTACAGCTTTCTGTTTTTAATAATCCAATATGTCTTAATTGATATCCTAATGGAAGTGCTTTATGAAAGAGGCATCAAAAAACATCTTTTTTCTTATTACAAATAGACTTCAAAGAGAGCCAGATATGTTGTGATACCTGTAAAGAAGTTTGTAATAAAGTTAATGAAAGAGAAGATTCTTTTAAAAGTTCTAAAGTTTTCTTGACTGAGAGTTTATTTCTTTTAATTTGATT